CCCTGCATGTCTTGTATTTTTATCTTTGGTTGGGATCATAGAAACACAGCCTGTTGAGAATCTGAAGAGGCAACATGGACAGTGCTAAGGTAGACTGAGTTGTGCTATTGACAGATTGACCCATTTTGGTTCAACAAGCTGTTGAAATTGCCTCAATTTGAACAAATGCAAGTTTCCTTTCTATATACCATTTACAGTTTTGAAGTTAACTTTTTAAGCAGCAAGTGTGAATGAATACTAAAAATGTATACAAAAGCTTCCCTGGGGTTCATGTTAGAAAAAGAGTGAACTGACCTTGCTGCTTTTGTCAGAAAATTCATGACAATGAGATAGAAGTACTTCAGGAGGGATATCTTGTCCCCTTATCCCTGGAAAAAGTGCCAGTTCAAATCTCAGTTTATATCATAGTGAAAAGAAACAACATCAGCATGAGGCCCTTTTTCTCTGTGGGAGACCTCCCAACAGATACAGGTCTTTCAGGTATATTATTTGGGAGAGTCTAGAAGACTCAATTGCTGATAAGTGTTTCACCATATTTTATGAAGGCTTGCCTTCTCTGCCCATTCACAAGCCTTCTTTTAATTAATTACGTTTTCATCATAACTGCAGAGAATTAAAACCTTACTGGTGGTCGTGTGTTTGAATTGAAAGTGACTCTTGTGGAGTCCCAACACATGTATAGGCTACTGTGTATAGGAGCAGTGGCATTACAGATGATTCATTTTTAGTGAAGATGTCATCTGATATGTAAACGCTGCAAAATTAAAACTAACCTGATGTCAATTTTTGAAACATTTCAAAACCCTTGAGACTAGCATCTCAGCCACATGTTTCCTGCTCAGTTCAAGCCTCTAAACTGAAAAGTTATTCTGTAAAAATAGCTAAGTTATGCATCATGCTCTGAGGGTCAACAAAAAAGATTCCAGCATTAAAAAGATACTGTGGACTATTTTGTTGAAAGCAATAGAATATATTCTCAACTAAGTATGTGATGTTTTACCAATCAACTCCCATGAGTGCAGATGGGAATTACAAAGGCTAATACTTGCACATCAGGTTGACAGTTAACATATATATCATTCTGACCTAAAATATGAATTCATAGTATTTAAGTCCTGCTTGACTAACCTAGTGGCCTTCTGTGATGTGGTGACTACATCAGTGGACACAGGAAGGGCTACAGATGTTGTCTATCTGCACCTCTGTAAGGCCTTTGACACGGTCCCCCACAACATCCTTCTCTCTAAACTGGAGAGGTATGGATTTGATGGGTGGACTGTCCGGTGGGTGAGGAATTGGTTAGATGGTCCCATCCAGAGGGTAGTGGTCAACGGCTCAATGTCCAGATGGAGGTTGGTGACAAGTGGCGTCCTGCAGGGGTCTGTATTGGGACCAGTACTGTTAATATCTTCATCAATGACATAGACAGTGGGATCGAGTGCACCCTCAGCAAGTTTGCAGATGACACTGAGCTGAGTGGTGTGGTCGACACGCCAGAGGGACAGGATGCCATCCAGAGGGACCTGGACAAGCTGGAGAAGTGGGCCTGTGTGACCCTCATGAGGTTTAACAAGGCCAAGTGCAAGGTCCTGCACCTGGGTCAGGGCAACCCCC